CCTCATCTAATTTTACATGCACATATCTGGTAATTTGAACAACCAGTTTGAAGACAGCACAGTTCATTGCGTCAAATACTGACATACATACAATTTTGTTAAATGAAATTCTGAATCACTTGTAAGTTTCCTGTTTTAATACCATTTTGTACTGTCTTTTTTTAGCCAAGGATTAAACTCAGGCCCTTGTGCTTGCCAGTGTACTCTGTTTTAAAAAAATAAAAATAAATAAACCTGAACTATCACCTGCTATTTGGATAAAGACTATATGGTACATACACACTTTATTTACTACAGAATGCTGTTCTATCATAAGACAGTAAATAGCATTCAAAATCATATGGATGGAAGTGAGGATTATTATGCTTTGCGACATAAGATAGTCATAGGAAGGCAACTGTCATATGAATTTCTAAATGATATGTGGCACCTAAAAGAGGAAATGTCACAGAAGGGGAGAGTAGAGTGTTTTCAATAGAGACTCGGGTGTCACCAGGAGTAAAGAGGAGAGGAAGGGACAGGCAGGGTCTCACAAGTGATAATTGCTAGTAACCAGTACCTGACAATTAGAAACTGCAGGAACACTTAGAGTTTCTCTGGGATCCCCAGTCGTGCATTGCTTTTATCTCTGAAGTTGAGTTGATAATGCATTCTCTGGGGAAGTCACTGAATTGTAAAGCTTGATCTCAGGATGCAGCTGCCTCCATCCCACACCCACGCTGGCTGCCCAGGTCTGCACACCGATACCCAGGCCAACACCAGGAATGAGTGAGATGAGCATTATCAGTTTCCTTAGAGATACAGGATGTGCTTGGGAAGGGGATCTATTGGAGCTGCAATGAGTGAGTATTCCTCTCAGGGAAAAGGATTCTTTGAGATGGAAAGAAATCGACACAGAAAGTCCTACAGGGAAGAGAAAGAATTCTGAGACATGAGTGAGCTGAGGTTGTAAAGAAAGTGAAGGTTGGCTCCTACTCTAATTGCAGGAATGAACCATTAATGTCTGCTGAGTTTAGTTTTTATGTCAAGAGAGACATATTAGATTTCAAAGGGTTTCAGGCTGCAAAAGTTAACCTAAAAACATTCTGCTATGTATTTTCCATTACAGGATTTACCAAAAAAAAAGTTGAGTAACCAGAAAGTTAGGTAAAACTGTCACATTCATGGTAAAGAGCAGAACAAATCTGCAGAACTACCTAGTCCTTTGTAGAAACCATGTCTGACTAGCACACCTGTGGCTGGAAAGGAAGCGCTGTGTCTGGCTCGGGGCCTATGAACCCGGCCATGGAGATGCAGCTGTACCTCCATGAAAGCTCTGGAGCCCTCAGCACTGCACTGAGACTCTTCTGCTCCTGGAAGCCAGAGCAGCCACCTTTCAGGAAAGGAGCCCGTGTGACAGGCTGCAGTATATCTTGTGATATTTACTCTGCTTTAAATATTGCGAGGTACTAATCCCATTGCTAATTCCTCTATAATTGTACTTGTATATGCAAGGCCTTCCTTGATAAATACTATGCAGTGTAACTTTCTCATTCAATATGATGTAGCACATATCTGAATAATTTTAAGCAATGAAACTCATTGATAGATGATGTTAGATAATAAAAATAGATAAGTACATAATCTCGTTAGATTGTATACAGTTTTTCATTTACTATTTTGTCACATATTAGAATTTGACATCCTAGTTTTATAAAATGGCATAATATGTAAGAGTTCCTTTGATACGTATTTTTGTTTTCTGACATACAAGCAAACACTTTTAACTCAAGTAACTCTAATATTCAACCAATATTTCTTTGATTAAATCCAACCAAAACAGGAGAAATCTTTCTTTTATTGAAGTACATGTTGTGTATATGTATCTTATTTCTATCTCCAAATTTTATTAGTATTTGATATTGCCCCATAGAATAAGTATCTGACCCAAGTGAGAATGTGTTAAAACCAAAATTTTAAAGCAGGTTTCCATGAAAGCAACACAAAATGACCAGATGTAAAAACTACTGTAAGCACAAGTCTGTGTGATGAGAAGCACAGGAGACCTGTCCGCTCGGGTTAGTACAGGGACTCTGAATCTCTGACCCACTGTGAATAGCTCAATTGCCACTGTGTCCACTTCATTGCAGCCAATTTATTCAAATGTCTTCTCTATGCTAAAGTTTCCTCATCTTTCAAATGAAAAAAAAAAAAAAGAAAAAACATATCTCCTGCCTTGAGGAGATTTGCTAAGGTTAAAGTTTGATTTTCACATTACATTGCATAAGTGCTCTAGGAGTAAAACATTAAGCTCCTGGGGGCAGCGAGATATTTCTGTGGACTAAAGCTCCTGCTCTGCTGACTGAGGGCTGACTGAGCTGGCCAGAGTCCAGGCATAGTAGCTTAGCCCTGTAATCCCAGCTGTGGCAAGGCGGAAAACAGATTTATCACTACAAGTCTGAGTTGCATAGTGAAATCTTGTAACAACCAAATACATTAAATATAACAACAAAAACTAACTACCATAATACTGACCAATATCTTTACCATTAAGATAATTTTTCTATATTTATTTTTATATTAGTCATTTGAGTACAATTGCATAGATTTTATTTTTCATTCTTTTAACCTAGAGATTTCAGTTATGAATCCAACTTGTTTACAATTCCGTGTAGCCTGTTTTACCTCTTGAAACATTTGACTTGCTTTTGGATGTAATTATTCTATGATCATAATAGTGTGCTTGAGCTTAAATTTGCCAATTTTTATGCTGAAAACACATAGTCCATATTTTCATCCTTTGTGTCTTAAATTTCTTGTGTGCAGATTTCATAATTCCACATTTTGACCTTTTATTTTGCTTGGTGTGTACTCAGAATCTTAATATAGTCTAATCTAGAAATTACACCACACAATGAAAACACAACCTAATGTGAGGTTACTTGGTATTTTCAAACATCACAGGTGTCTCATAACGACAGGTATTCTTTTTTAAAAAATTTCATTTTAAAGGCACAGACAGAGGTCAGCCATATGACTCAGTGTGGTTTTATAGATTAACACTTCTCTGCTTTATATGTACCATCAAGATCAACATGCAGATTACAGTGCATCTCCATTAGCTCACTGTGACAGTTACAGTTACTGCCACTGCACCCACGTCATTACTATTCTAACATCAAGGCGATCTGACCGCTTGAATCTGTTTCATACATTGTACGAATGGAATTATGCAACCTAAAATTCTTTAGCATTTGACTTTTGCATTACTCCTATTATTAAGTTATTGACCTGTTTTTGAAAGCTATCAAGGAACATTGATTAGAATTTCCCTACAGTATTGTATGATAGCAAGATGGTATGATTAGCAAAAACTTGCTTGTGAGTAAACAGTATGGCTTTATTTCAGAGTAAGGTTATTACAAAATGCAGAGGTACGCAAAATCTACATGTCTTTTTGTGACACCTGAACAAATATATATATATATATATATATATATATAATTGTATTTTAGGGAAGGGTCTACAGGGTGTTCAGGGCCTGACTACTAGTTAGACTCATAGTGATCTGCCTGTTTTACAGCCTTCCAAGAGCTGGAATTACAGGTGCATGCCACCACACCCAGTCTCACTTGCCATCTCGGCACACCCCAGGGGCAGGGCTGGCACAGAAGGCCCAGGGATCGAACCCCCGGCCCCTACACCTCCTTGCAGACCCTTTAACCACAAATATTTCTTGAGCCTATATAAAGTAGTAGAACTGTTGGTAGATGTGGTAAGGTTTGTCTGTCTTTAGTAGGTACAATCCCTTAAATTCTTTGTACTAATGTTTATACTTAGCAAGAGTGTGTAACTCTTACTATATTCATATCATTCCTAAAACTGGATAATTTCCACCATTTCAACTTTAACCTCTGAATGTTAATATATTATTAGTGGATTATTTTTCTTTCATTGTTACATTTTACTGTGACATTGATTATAAATCTTTCCCTACCCTTATTCTTCAGGTTCTGTTTGACTTATTTTAGTCTTGGACTTCTGTTCTGTGTGCATGTTTATGAATGGTTTGCAGTCATTCATAGATGCTGGCAATGGATGCTTTAAATCCTATCACTCTGTTGCAATAAAGAGAAACTCTTCATGTAATGTAAACTCATTTACCACTTCATATCTTGTAGGTAATAAACATGTACTGTTTAAATAATTTTTCAGGGCTGGTGAGATGGCTCAGTGGTCTAAAGCACCTAATTAGAACAAGCTTAGCAAAGCAAAGGGACCATAGTTCAATCCCCCAGCACCACATGCCAGCCAGCCCCGCCCCCTGGTGGGCTGAGCTGGCCACACGCGCGCGCACACACACACACACACACACACACAAATAAAATTTAAATAAATTAATAATCTTTTCTTACACTAATACAGCAAAATTTGCCTTCAACATTTAGATCATTGTCTATATAAAATCAATTTCTTTGGTAGGATTATGACTATTCAAATGTATTTTAAAATAGCTTATAGCCTCTTCCATGTACTTATCACTTTTCAAATCTAGATATCAGGAAAAATAGTCCAGAGATATGTACTTAAAATGTAGGGACTGAATGCATGTTAACATATTTATCATCTCCCAAAGAATTCACTCTCAATGTTATTTATATAACTATATATTTCACAGTTATTTTAGGTAAAATTCAGGTTATTTTAAATATAAGGGAGGATATTTATAGGCTATATAAATTTTATGCCATCTATATGTGATAGTTGTTAATCCACTGAGAGTGAAATCCTCCTGATAATAATGCAAAACTCTCTTATGCCTTATTTTTCATTGACTTGATTCTGTCCCTGCTTCACCCAAGTTAACAGCAGCTCAACTTTGGTGTGGATCTCTCTCCAACTTCTCTCCACCTGTTCCCAAGTCTCTCGTCTCCAGTAATTCCGAAGCGTTGTACAACCAAATGGAAATTTTACCATTCAAAATCACCATGGGCTGATAATTCCTACATCCTAAGAGCAGAATGGCACCTAGAGACTTGGCAATAGGAATGGCTTTTCTGAGTCAGACAGCCACCGGAATCCTAGGTAATGCTGTTCTTCTGTTCCATTATTTCTTTCTCTGCCTCACTGGATACAGGTTAAAGACCACAGATGTAATAGCTGAGCACTTGACTCTAGCAAACACAGTGATCATGTTGTCTAAGGGAATCTCACAGACACTGAAAGCATTTGGGATAAAGTATTTCTCTCACATTATTAGATGCACAATTCTTTTGTATATCTACAGAGTGGCCAGAGGTGTGTCAGTTAGTACAACCTGCCTCCTAAGTGTCTTCCAGGCCATGAAGATCAGCCCCATGACCTCCAGTTGGAAGGTCCTTAAAGATAAAGTTCCCAAAAACATGGGTTTCACTATTTTCCTCATTTGGATTCACTGTACGTTGGTAAATTTCATTTTTCCATTTTATGCCATCAGTAGATCCAACAGCAAAAATATTACAAAGATAAAACATTTTGGACAGTACTGTTCTAATTTTAGAGACAAAATCACAGAGGCATTGTATGCAACATTGCTGTTATTCCCTGAACTTCTGTGTTCTGTGCTCATGATCTGGTCCAGTTGCTCCATGATTTTCATTCTTCACAGACACAAGCAACAGGTCCAATATATCAGTAGGACAAATGTTTCCCAGAAATCATCCCCTGAGACCAGGGCCACCCAAAGTGTCCTTGTCCTTGTGTGCACCTTTGTGTCTTTTTACACCCTCTCCTCCTGCTTTTATACTTATGTTGTGAATTTCTATATTCCAAACTGGTGGCTCATGGACACTTCTGACCTCATTTCCACCTGCTTCCCCACCATCAGCCCTTTCATTTTAATGAGGTGCAATTCCACTGCTTCCAGACTCTGGTTCACATTCTTACATTTTTTTCAGAATCATATAGAATGTACTGCCAAGCTAAGTGGTGTACACAGATTATTCTTTAAAAAGACAGATAGAAAAAATGAAGTAGTCGTTCCATGCAATCAGTAGTGGAGTATTTGTCTAGGTTGTATGAGCTGGGTTGGATTTTCACCACAGCAGCAAATAGTTAAAATACATATTATCTCGAAAATTTGAAAAGAAGCAATTTAAGGAGAAGACATTAACCTCTAAGGTGGGCACCAATAATTTTGGGTTCTATCAACCTGGGTCAATGTGGAACTCAAATCAATATGGCAGACTGGGCAGATCTTTCTGCCCAAGATCCTCTCCTAAAATTTTTCAGGAAGCAAATAAAATGGGTTTGGTAACAAACACTGGGTCATACTGACAAGTGTTTGATGGGAGTGATGCACTCATAGAAAAGTTTGACACACACACACACACACACACACACACAAGTTCACAAATGTAGTGAATATTCCTAGGAGGACCCATTTGAGGGTTGTCAGGTATTTGCATGTCTTATGGGTAATGGTCAAGAGAATTGAAATTCTGGAAAAAAAAATGTCTTTTCGTGGATATTTGTGCACAAGTAATCTTGGAAGATTAAGATGCCTGAAATTACTTGTCTAGAGTCTTGATTTATTTATTTTAAAGGAAGACTATATATTTCAGTCCATTGGAGTTTGGGGAAGGTTCAGGAAAAATTATGTAAAAGCCTGGATGTTCTTTTTGTTGGGTGCATTATAGGTGACAACAATTTGCTGTATGTGATGTATCCACTTGAGTTCCTTTACTCCATCATGTGGGACCTAGAAGACAGGAGAATGATGTTATCTGACACACCCAGCCTACTGTCAGTAATGAAATTTTCTCTGTTTTTGATCAGGAGTAGTAAGTTCTCTGATAGCATTGCTAAAGTCCACTGCAGGCGAACAAATACAGTGTGAAATTACTAAAGTAGATATAAAGTAGAGATAGGAATATGGGGTAGGTGGGTATGTATGTAGGTATGTGGGGAGAGAGAGAGAGAGAGAGAGAGAGAGAGAGAGAGAGATTCTTTCTTTTAGGAAATCAGGAAGAGAGGGAGATGGGAAGAAAATAAGTACAAATTTACTATAGTGAGAATTATTATGTATATTTTAAATGCAGCAATAAAATAAAACATGCAATTTTTTCATCTTTTTAATATTTTATATATTTTCTTCCTTTTTGTTTCTTCTAATTATTCATGAATCTATCTGGTAACATGAGCAGCTAATTTAAAGTCAACACTATGCTATACAACAAATATTGTTAAATTCATATTATTTTAATTAGTCAAATTCTGTATCACTTGTAATTTTTCCCTTTTAATACTATTTTGCATTCTTTAAAAAATAAAAATTTAAAAAAATAAAAGGGGGCTAACTTGTCAGCCAAATAAAGACAGACAACAGTGCTAAAAGGAAGATATGCACTTAAAGAAAACTTGCCTGTAGCACAGAGGAGGTAACTACAAATTGGCAGAAGAGAGACAACAAGGAGTTAAAGAAATGCACAGAAGGAAGGAGGGCCAGGATTCCACATCCACTGAAGGGTCCAAAGCAGTTTCTGTGTTTTACTTTTAAACTCCTTTTCGAGAACTGTCTTATGTTTCACTAAAGCTTTTCTACAAAAGCAAATATATTTGTAGACACAACGAAGTGTGGCTTTCTTTAACGTAGATTGTTGTATAATGAAGAGCTAAATTTTGTGAAAAAGGCAGTGCCATTTGCAGACTCCGTGTGGCTGTGCATGTCACTAGGACCTGCTTAAGGTCACTGCTCTGTGCATGTCCAACAGAAATAGCCAAACGTTGTAAAAGTAAAGGTTGGTGTGCAGACATAAAAATTGTTATTTCTGGTATCATTTGCATGGAATCCATAATTTCACCCTTTCCAATTCAGCCTACGTAGGTCTTTTAGAAGAAAGTCTTACTTTATTTATTTATTTAATTTAGTTGTTTTTTTTTATTTTGTGCAGGGTCTCACTATGAAACTCATACTCATAGTGATCCTCCTGTTTTCAGCCTCCACAGCACTTAGATTACAGGCATGTACCACTAGCTGGGACTGGTGGCAAGCTAGTGTGCCTGAGGGTGAAGTCTTGGGGCATGTGGTGCCAGGGATCTAATCCCAACCCTTTGAGCTTGCCTAAGCAGGTGTTTTGTCCACTGAGCTATCTTGCCAGCCCTAAGAAAGTCTTAGTTTAGCCTTCATCATATGGAAAGCCAATTGTTCCAACAACATTTATTAAAGAGGCTATCTTTCTTCAAAAGAACATGTTTGGGACCTTTATCAAAGATAAAGCGGCTGAGTGTGTTTGCAGTTCTCTATGCATTTTCTAATCCGTTGCATTGATCCTCAGGTCTGTTTCCTTGCCAGTACCATGCTGATTTTGTCACAGTAGCTTTATAGTGTAACTTCAGGTCAGGGATTGTGATACCTCCTGCCATTCCTTTGTTTCCCAGGATTGCTTTTGATACTCTGGCTCTCTTCTGGTTCCAAATATATTTGAAGAAAACTTTTCTCTAGCTCTGCGAAGTATACTAATAGCATTTTAATTGGGATTGCATTGAATCTGTATAACAATTTTGTGAATATGGTCATTTCCACAATGTTGGTTCTTCCTATCAAGGATTCCTTTTTCTCTTCTTAATTTCATATCTATTTCTTTCTCTTTTCTTTCTTCTCCCACTGTTTCATGCATATATCTGGTAATATGAATAACTTGTTGGAAGACAACACTGTGCATTGCAATAAATACTATGAAACTCATTACCTTTTTTAATGAAATTCTATGTCACCTGTAATTTTTCTGTTTTAATACTATTTTGTACTCTTTTAGAAAAGAAAAATAAAGAAAAAGAGAAAGTCTTGAAGGAGAAACACATAGTATGTCTTTCTTTTTGGCCGCTGCAGACTCAATTGATATCTTTTGACGTGAGCCTTAGGTCATTTCAATTGAGAGTAATATTTGATAGAGAAGTTAGTATTGCTATTTTTATTGACTTCTGGTTGCTTATATCAACTTTTCATTCCTTATTTCCTCTATTTCTGTCTTCCTTTGTGATTTGATTGGTTGTTATTTCTCCTTTTTCCTTATCTAAGGTGTATCTGTGATAGTATTTGATATAAAACAATTTCTAGTTAGAGCAGTCTTATTTCAACACAGTATCTTAAATTTGATAGAATACAAAAGCTTTGCATTTTCAATCCCTTTCTTTGATTTGATACTGGTAAAACTACATACCAACTGTACAACTATACTGGGTTAATTAATTTTTCCAAATACGCATGCAGCATACAATGGCAGGGAGGGGTGTAGCTCAGTGGTAGAGTGCTTGCCTAGTATAAACAAGGCCCTGAGTTCAATAGCAAGTACACACACATGCACACACACCCACACACAGAGCATGCAATACAATTCAACAGCGTTTTCTGACACATACCCCAACTTTGACAGTATTTGCAACAACTTCATTTGACATAAACATGTGAAATGGAGTATACTCCATTTTTCTTTTTCATCTAAGTTATTTCACTTAACATAACGTCTTCTAGCTCTATTTTTCTGCAAAGAGCAGGATTTTATTCATCATTCCTAAGTAATAGTCATTGCATATAGAGATAATCTTATATTTATCCGCTGACCTGTGAAGGACATCCTAGCTATTTTGAGTGCTGTTCAAAAAAAAAATCCTTTCCTTTGTATTTGTCATAACAATTTTGTATATTTGTTGTATACATTACACAAGACTATACAAAGTCCTATTCTAATACTTCTGGTTTTGGTCCCTTATACTAGAATTAAAAGTAGCTTACAAAGATCCATAAATTATCACAATGTTATACATTCAGAATCAGGCTTATCTTTGGAATTAAAATGTACACTTTCACAGAACTTAATGATAGTGAGTATTGTCTTTATCTTGTTTTTTTTTCTGTATTTAGGACAGGGTCTACAGGGTCTCACTATGTAGATCAGACTCATAGTGATTCTCCTGTTTTCAGCTTCCCAAGAGCTGGGATTACAGGCGTGCACCACCATGCCCAGTCTGGATAACCATCTCAGCACTCCCCGCAGGCGGGGCCAGCACGGCATGCCTGGAATTGAACCCCGGTTGCTGTATTCTGCCTAAGTAGGCGCTTTAGTCTGCTGAACTCTCAGCAGACCCTATTGTCTTTATTTTACCTTGAATATCTCTCTTTAGCAGTTTTTTTTTAAACTTCAGCTAGAATAACTCTTATAGGTAAAAGTAAGAAAAACGTTAACAATTTTAAGAAGAAACTTTCCAGATCAAATCACATTTCTTGCTTAGTGCAGATATAACCTGAAGTTTAAATATGAACTTAAAGTTTTGGGAAGACTTTGCTTGAGTGGAAGATAGAAAAAAAAACTTTAAGTTTAAAAAAAACTTTTGAATTGTCAAAGTATGCTTCTATATGTCTTAAACCTCCCTTAGCCTGCCTAGCTAGTGAAGATATTATAAAGATAATATAAACTCTAATTGAATTAATCACACTTGCCTTCAGGGGATCTCAAAATACTGCATATAACTTTTTACCCTTCAGAGGCTTAGATACAGCCATCAGGACTTTATGAAGTTATGAGTCCTCTAAAAAAGAAACTGAAATAGTCACGTTAAATAGTAGAAGACAGAATGTTTTAAATGGAGCTATCAGCACATCACAAGACTCGGAAGATGATATCTCCTTTCTGCTGATAATTCAAGTTGCGAGAATCAGATTAGAAAACACATCATACTTGATAAATTGAGTACAGTGTTGCCTGGACTTTTGGATGCTCTCCAGATTACCATAGGAGATATTGACCCTCAACTTAAAAATCTCATCTGAGGATTGTTGTCAAGAACATAAAAAGAGAAATAGAGAGGCAAACTGTGCTGAGGATTCTCCTGTAGAATCCTTTCATGCTGGATTTCCTGATATGAACATGGGTTTTCTCATTGTGGGAGGGGCTCAAGACTTCAGTTTTGCTGTGATCATTGCAGTTTTCTTTGGGGTATCTCTGGTCCTTACTTTGATAATCACTTTTTACTCCCATGCATATTCTTCAGCCTGCTG